AAATTTACAGAGACTTTGGATTTCCATTCATTCATTGTTGCACTTTTCTCCTGTCTAACATCCCCACCCCAATTCACTCTTCTCTTTAAAAAAGATTCTTTCATTGTTATGCAATCCATCTCCCCAAGTCTACTGTGGCCACTATGCAGCCTTTGTTCCGCACTCCTGTCATAACAATAATACCTAATCATATATCCCTCTAAAACAATTCTCTCCCTCATCTGTTTCAATGCAATATACATTATTTATCCCCTCTTTTCTTAGGTTCTTCCTAATCCCAATGTCTGTCCCATTTTACAACAGTGGCACTATGCAGTATTTGTCCTTTTGTGACTGAGCTATTTCACTCAGCATAATGTCATCCAGGGTCACCCATTTTGTATAATATTGCATGAGTTCCTTGTTTTTCAATGCAGTGTAGTATTCCATTGTGTGACTATACTACAGCTTCTCTAATTCATTCATTTGTTGACGGCCACTTAGGTTGTTTCCGACTTTTTGCTATTGTGAACAAAGTCGCAATAAACATGGCTGTGCATATATCTGTTTGGGTAGCAGCTATGGTTTCTTTGGGGTATATTCCCAGTAGTGGAATTGCTGGGTCAAGTTGTATTTCTATTTCCAAATTTTTGAGAAAGCACCATACTGCCTTCCATAGTGATTACACCATTTTACACTCCCAAAAGTGAATAAGGGTTTCAGTTTCTCCACAACATCATCAGCATTTGTTGCTTGCTGTTCTGTTAAATTTTGCTATTCTGACTGGGGTGAGATGATATCTCAGAGTTGTTTTAATGTGCATCTCTCTTAGAGCTAGGGATTTTGAACATTTCATGTGCTTGTTGGCCATCTGGTGGAAGTGTCTGTTCATCCCCTGTGCCCATTTTTCAATTGGTTGTTTACAAATTTTGCTATTTAAACCTTCCTACTTCTGGTATTTCTGTTTAACAGCATTAAACCACTGAAACAGACAGCTATCTTCTAGGGTCTTCACAGGGATAATGACTGCTATTTGGTTTTGTTTTGTTGTGGGTTTTGGTTGTTTTTTGTTGTTTTGTGTTGTTTTGTTTTTTAGGTGCCATCAAGTTGACTGTGACTCAGAGAATCTTTGTGAATAACAGATCTAAAGCTTGCCCTAACTCTTGTCATCATCATCATCACTGATATGCTCGAGCCTTTGTTCTAGTCCCTATCAAGCCATTCTCTCTTTCTCTGAATTTGAACTTTCCCAGGCTGATGTCTTCTTCCAACTACTGCCTCATCCTGACAACATGCCAAAGTATGGAGACAAAGTGTCACCACCCTTGCCTCTAAAGAACACCCTGGTTGTGCTTCCTCCAAGACAGACTTGTGTATTTTTCTGGAAATTCAGGAGATATTTAATACTCTTCTTCAGTACCACAACAAAGACATCAATTCTTCGGTCATGCTTTTCATCATCCAAAAAATTTAATGAGTATTTACAAAAATCTTAAGGACTCATAGCACCTAAGCTGTTAAGAATATGGAACAAGCCATAGTGTTTTCAATGACTTCAATGACTTCATATGAATCTGCGAGTTGGACAATGAAAGGCATGGGAGAAAAAAATGCGCAATCAAGAAGGATAAGATCGATGAATGGGACCTTCCATTAACAAAGAGCAGATAAAATCAAAACCTTTCCCAAGTATGGTAAGAAAAAATTCACAGCCTGGGGTGCGGGAAAAAAAAAACAATATTTGACATCATTTCAGACAAGGAACTCATAACTAATATTTATAAAATAGTACAGAGCCTCTACAAGAAGAAAGCAGAAAACCCAATCACAAAACAGACAAAATATAGGAGAGGACTCCTCACAAAGGAGTTCATTAAGAAGGTAACAAACACATGTGGAAATGTACAAAATCCCTGGCAGTCAGAGAGAGAGACGTGAATCAAAACAACCATGAGGTATCATCTCACCCTAGCTGCAGTAGCAAAGTTTAACAACATAATAAACAAGACAATGCTATTGCTATTCAAAGTACTTTCAATAAGTAGGGTATCTTCTTTCAAATATCTTGAAACCAACATGTGAATGGTCAACACTTTTCAATAATACACACACACCCCCACACACACGCCCATGAGTTTGTTTATTTAAAAAAGTAAAACAACAAACAACAGTAAACCCAAATGTGGAACTTAACATCATAATTACTTGGTAATATCAATAATTTAAAAAGTTATTGGTGTAGGGTTTTTTTTAATCAACTCGTTTTCATTTTAGCTAAGTTCTTTCTTAAGTCCACAAGCCTTATGTTGCATTTTATTTAATTTTAAAACAAAGCATTTGACAAGCATAGTACCACACACCAACTCCTCATGGACCTGGATATAAACTTCTCTGCTGGGTAGTAGAGCTGCAATTTTTTTTACATCCCATTTTTTACAGCCTGTTACTGTCATTTGATGTTTGACTGTTATCATTATAAAAGATACAGGCTTTTCTACTTTGTTATTTGTAGCATTATCTCATGTTTTACAACATCTTTGCGCAACATGCAGGCACATGAAATATAACTAGTGAAAAGTTCTCGGTGGTATTAATGCATAAAAAAGAATGTGGTTCCATCTCTACTGTCTTTACTCAGCCAAAAGCTGATGAACAGCCAATTTTCCTTTATCACATTAGCACAGCCATGAGGGAAACACATTTGTTCTAGTCAGCTACACTAAAGATACTATTACCAATCTAACATATACATGTTTTATATCAGCAGTATTCTCCGAGCATGAGAGAACCAACAATATATTAACACTAGCATGACAGTTTATTTAAGAAAAGAAAATTGTCTCTGTAGAGGGACAGAAGTTAGAAATGTATGGCTAAAGCTCAGTGTCACTGGTCTAATAAAGGTAATAATTCTTGGGCTTTCTTTATAGCAGGTAGCACTGCTGTGACAGTTTGGTCATATCATTCAAATAAAAATGTTGTCTTTTACAAGTTTAAGTGCACCTTTATTTTGAGTCAGATAGAAAACATGGTTTTGATTTTCTGTATTCACTGTATTAGATCTTTCCAAGAGTTCAAGACCTTTTGTGAGGTCTTTTTTGGTTATTTTTTATCAACTCATTACATATTTGCTAGGTAGAATTTTGTGTCTGATGCAGTGAATTCCACGAGGATGTTTTCACTTTGTCAGTACTTGAAAATGATTCACGAGAATCCCAAGTCACTCTATTCTTTTGTCCCCTCCCCTCTCAACCACCTTTCTATAAATAAGATTACATCTTCTTTAGTTTCCTGTGCCATGTTTTATATTCCAAGATTCTCTAAACTATTTTACAATTCTGATCTGAAGTGTCATCACCATGAAATGGGGCCAGCTCAGGTGGATTTGTGCCATAGCTCATTCTGATGAGCCCCTTGCCAGTTATTTAGAAAGATAAGAATATATATGACAGAATTTCCGATTTGTGAAAAGCAAGCCTTCTTCTACAGGAAACTTCCCTCTGACTCACTCTCTGGCCTTGTGAGAATTAGAGGGGCTTGGGCATGTTTTTTTTGAAGCAGCTTGAATGAATGAATGAGTGAATGAATTGGCAAAGCCAGTGGCAGTTGTAGAAAAGCTTTGCCATCACTTAATCCTAGAGCATGGTGGTAAGAGGTAGTAGGAAGACCATCCTCCAGCCGTCGATATTGACGTTTCATTCTAACCTTTGGTAACACTATTATGGGCTCGAGTGAAATTATTCTTTTTATTCGTGCATTTCATATCCCTCTGACTGATCTTTTTGAAGTGAAAGAGTGCATTAGATTTAAAAAAGGAGGAACTTTGGAGACCTTCCCATTCCTTATTTAATAACTGGCTGCCATTGAGTAGATTACAACTCTGTGGGAAGCCTGTGTACATCAGCATAGAACTGAGCTCCATAGCATTTTCAGGGACTCATTTTTAAAAGTCTATTTCCGGGCCCTTCTTCTGAGGTGTTTCTGGATGCCATTGAACCTTCCACCTTTTGATTAACAGCAAAAACACAATAACTATTTACACCACACAGAGTGTCCCAGGCTTGATTAGGAGGGAGAAGAAATTAAAAGATCAGAATATCACACAGTTGCTATGAAGCTTCAAAGGAGAAAATGAATAGAATAGAATAGAATAGAATAGAATAGAATAGAA